GTGTGTGTGTGTGTGTGTGTGTGTGTGTGTGTGTGTGTGTGTGTGTGGAAATAGCCTTAAAGTTTGTGTGTGTGTGTGTGTGTGTGTGTGTGTGGAAATAGCCTTAAAGTTTTTGCCATCCTGAAAATACTGAGGTTTTGTTGTTTTTGTTTGGTTTTATGATCAATAATAAAGAACTTCAGGACTTTGAAGTGCTTAGCATCAGCACTATGAATCTTCATTTCTTAGTGTTGAATGCTGATTATTAAAAATTTCCCTTTAATATATTGCCAAATAAAACAACTTTTAAGTGTTCTGTTTTAAAGCCTACACTAATCGGCTATATTTGGCCACATTTAGGCAATCACTAACATACGTTTATTCTTCTAAGTATTTCCCCCTTATATATATCATAGATAGCAGTCGCCCTCAGAAACTCTTAATTGAATAAATATATAATATGCAAATTTTATAGTGAGATCCAATGCTTCAGTTTCTGCCTTTATGATATAGCTAATTAAAGAATCTTCCCACAATTTCACTTTTTTATATTTTATAAAATGTGAGCATCTTTTAGGTGTTCATGTGAGAGAATAGAGAATATGATTTCAGGAAAACTTGGTTATAGAAAATTTGTACTGTCTCATTATGATAAACTAATTGCTTTTGTGATTCCTCCAGGGACTGTGGTTAAACATTTGAATAGTCAGTGGTGTATAGTAATTGTAACAGCTAGAACAAGGCCCAGCATAATTTTTGTGAGTCAAGAGTAGAAATGGCAACTGCTACACCATTTTGCCTAAATATTTAAAAGTTATAGATAAAAATAACAAATAATTAAATGAAGTATATTCTATCCTCCTAATTTGACCAAAATACCTTCATAATAACCTGGAAGGCCAGATTCGAATTGAGGATTTTCAAACTGCTTGGAGGTCCAAACTGGGATATGACAACATGAAGAAAGAGGAATCCCCAGGCTGGCACCCTTCTTTTCCCTCTCCTGGCTCCATCCTCTACCTGGAGGGCCCTGATGCACTGGCCAGTGCTCATAAGCTCTGTTCACCCTATAGGCCTGAGATTTCACACATGGTCTATAGAGTAGTTGTGCAGAAAATTTGGGGATCTTGTATACTTGGTACACGGTCTAAAAGTAGGATTGGGGCAGGGGCTCAAGTGTACATAAACTGGCTGGCTCTGCATGCTCTGCCAGACACAAGCCCCTCTAAAGCCTTCTGAGTCTATACTGCCAAAAATACATTGCATGTACATGCTCTTAGGCACTTAACTTTGCAGAGTCGTAAAACCTTTGTTTCATTGCCAGTTAGTCACTGAACCATTGCTTAGCCATTAATTTGTTTTACTTCCATCTATTAAGACACAGAAATCTCCTTAGTTATTTTTTGCAGTGACTCTGCAGTAGTAATTGCTATAAGAAATGGAGGATAAAGTATTTATTCATAATTTTTTGTTGCTCTAAAGACAAATGACTAAAACTTGTTTTAAAAGTAGAAATTTAAAAATTTTTCAAAGATTAGTTTCCATTTTTAAATCTGTAATTATTAGAATTAATGTTATGCTTTAAAATTGTCTATGGATTTTTTTTCTCATCAATTCTATTCAATTGATAATTTCATTCAATTGATAGTTCATTCAAATTATCATTTGTTGGACCTCGTGTGCAGTGCAGCATGCTTAGATAAATTTTTTTACTTCATTCTTAGGAGATGTGTACATTTTGTCTCTTTATTCACAGTTAACTATCTCTTTATATTCTCTATAACCATCATTTTGTATTGTCATGTGAAAAATAAATTGAAAATAAGTTGACTCAATTCCCATTTTGAATAAATAAGGGAATAAATAAAATAAATAAATACAATGAAAAATAGAAATTAACATCTATTTAAATAAAATTATTATACAGTCATTTTAAGTAAAAACCTGTTTATTTGGAATTTATTTAACTTTACCATTCAGAACTGTTCTCTACTCTCACGCTCATTAAATTTAAAGTTTTCATAGTAGATGTACTTGATATGTATAGATATAGTAGTGTAGTAATTCTCCTTTAATAATAGCAAAGATTATGTTTTCTAAGGCTTGCTAAAAAGAATAATCATAATGTTATAGATTTTGTATATTCATCACACTTTTTAAAAAAATTTAGCTCAATTGACTCTGAATCAGTATATTTTAAATAAATCATTTATGTAGGTAAATGGTGAATTTTTTTTTCATGCTAGTGTTACAGTATATTTGGTAAGTTTAAAAATCTCATATCAGTCTTCTACTCATCTCATATAAATATGTGTACTGTTACAAGAAAGATTTTTTGAAGTTGCGGTTGTTTTTATTTTGTTTTAATAAGTAAGCATATGCTTCTGCCCACTGGGAGACAGGTGCATTTTAGAGCGTAGACTGGTGATTATAAAAACTCATCTGAACCTAGAATTTCTGCTAAACAAATAATTTAATAGTGCTTTGTGAGAAGATATTCCAGTTAAAGTTTCCAGTTAAAATTTTAAGGTACACGTTTTGTTAGGATAAGTTTAAATAAATACATTAATCCTTTTTGTTTGTCTTAATAGCAGCAGCTGCTGCTTTGAATGTAAACGTGAAGAAGGAAATATCTAGTCCGGCAAGACCTTGCTCTTTCGAAGAGGCCATGAAAGGTACCAAGTTAATTCTGCTCAAAAATTGTAAATTAGTGATGCTATATATTTTCTCTAGCAAACCTTACTATTTTATTTTCTCTTGTGTACTCGGAACACTTTGCAGGTTACCTTCCATATTGTAAAATAAATACTTGTTTGACTTTACTGAATGCAGAGACTTGCTTCCCAACTTGATATTTCCCTTCATTTACCATATAAACAACTTTTTTTTTAACATGTGTTGGAATAGAGAAGTTTTTGTTTTGTATTCCCTAATGTTAAAAATCTTAAAAGTATATATAGAATACAATAATGTATATAAAACAGCTTTATAAAGCTTCTTGCTGCCAATAAGAGTAGTTGACATTGAGACTAAAGAGACCAAAATAGAAACTATTGGCATTTGAAAAAGTTGCTTTAGGTTCTTTAGGTACCATTCTTTCTTCTGACACCATTATTTCCAAATAGAAAATGAAGATATCTTCAGGATGTTATAATGTGTTTCTCAATTATGATGCTTTTGTGCCATTACATATGAAGATGTCAATTGCATAGTGGCCATTGATTTATTCCTGTAATTCTAGCTTTTACTTATATTTTTCTGCCATGAAATTCATGAGTTAAATTAAATTTTAAAATTTTGTATACTTATATTTTTAAGGGGCATAATATGCTTAATACATTTTATCAAATACAGTGGATTTTTTTTCCTATTGTCATAGTAAAATTCAGCATTCATATATATATTCAGTTTAGTATAGCTTGCCATTATAATTTCTATCAACAGTTCCAAAATAGATTAATTAGGAATTATGCACAAGTAAGTGCATAATGATCTGATTTAACTACAGGAAAATTTACAAGTCTCTGCTAGGGATAACCATGGCTAATGTTTCTCGAACATATATTAAATGCTAGGCAGCATTCCACACTCTTTACCACCATTATCTCATTTAATCTGCCAAGTCTATGAGATAGGAAATTTATGATTGTCATTTCACAGGTGAGGAAATCAAGGTTCCATAGAGGAATTTAAAAAGACAGGTCGAGGGGGCTTCCCTGGTGGCACAGTGGTTGAGAGTCCGCCTGCCGATGCAGGGGACGCGGGTTCGTGCCCTGGTCCGGGAGGATCCCGCATGCCACGGAGCGGCTGGGCCCGTGGGCCGTGGCCGCTGAGCCTGCGTCCGGAGCCTGTGCTCCGCAACGGGGGAGGCTGCAACAGTGAGAGGCCCGCTTACCGCACAAAAATAAATAAATAAAATAATAAAAAGACAGGTCGAGCTTTAGTGTATAAGGTAACATCTAAGCAATAATAATTCAAACGATGTTTATTAGATGAATAATACCATAATTAATCAATCATTAAAGAAAGTCAGGGACATTTATGGTCTGTCCTTTGCCAACTTTGATGTGTTCCTGCTTTTCTGCAAAAACTCCTTCATGCTTCTTTCATAGAGTATCAGGCTGGTGGGACACTAATGTAATCCAGTGTGAAATTTCTCATAGTGAAGGTTAAAAGGTTTTAAATGCTATGTTTAATTTTTGGTAATAAAATGATTTAGTCATTTGATCAAAATCTTACAAGCCTAAAAAATGGGTAAGAAACACACATACACATATTATTATTTTTCACAATTCAGACCTTCTTATTTTGACAATTTTATCAACTGAAATCATGTAAAATAATTTTATGAAGATATAAAATTAAATACTAAACTATCTTATCAGTTAAAATTTTTCATTTGTCATTTTTAAATACAGTATCATTAATTGGAGATTCCTGATCAGTTGAACCAACAATAGCTTTCAACTAGGAATTTCCCTTGACAAATAGCTTATTTTTGTGATTCCTTGAAATCAGAGCTTTGGTATAATGCCCAGGTGCCCTCTGAGAGATTTAATTAGGTATGCTTTAATGATGAAGACTGAGCAACATAAATGACTTTTAAATTTGTGTTATGGCATAACCCTTCATATAACATTCTTTAAAATAGCCATCAATTACAGTAAGATTTAGAACTTGATACATAAATAGGACATTATGGCCAGACATTGAAAGCTTTCACTCTGCAACAAGTTTCTCATTCCTCGGAGAGGGTTTGCAGGGGGAGGTGGAGAGTAAGGGGGATAACTGCACAACTGCTCAGTGAGATATTAAGGCTAGTGGTAAAGCATCATGGTTCATTTTTCAGTTTTACCCAACTGTGTATATATTAACACAAAAGTAATACAAATTACATAAGATAAAGTGTACAGTGTAAACTATTGTTAACAGCTTCCAGAAAGTTTTCTATATCTATATACGTACAGGAAGATGTAAGTGAACATTCTAGACAGATCATTCAGAAACTCTGTGATGCAGGTTTAGGACCCAGGGATAGAGTATTGATGTGCAGTCTCTCAGTTTTAGCTTTGTAAAGAGTGGTTAATTGGATGAATGTGAAAAAATAGTTGCCAGCATATGTTTTTCTCTAACTGGTTGCAATTATGTGAAAAGTTTTAGGAGCTTGTAGGAATCATAGAGATAATGTAGTTCAATCTCATTTTACAGGTAAATAAACCAAAATTTAGAGAAGTTAAGTGATTTGCTCAAGGTCACACAGCTAATAACTGACAGAGGTTGCAACTTAGATTTCCCCCAAAACTCTGTATTCTTTTTACTCTATTATTTCCATCCCTTATAAATCTTAATTTGTATTTTAACCAAATGTATTTATATATGACCTAAGTGCTGCTTGATGACAACAAACTTAGCAAAGATTTTTCTAAGTTTCCAAAATTGTTATTATTTGGCATGGATGGAAGGAGAACACTCTTTAAAAATTATTTGGCATAAACTATCAATAACAGTATTCTTCATAAATTCAAATTGATATGGGGATGGTTAAATATGTCTGTCTAATTTACTTTCTGGGGAATTCCCTGGTGGTCCAGTGGTTTGGACTCCACGCTTTCACTGCCGTGGGGCTCGGTTTGATTCGCTGGTCAGGGAACTAAGATCTCGGAGGCCATGCGGCATGGCCAAAATAAAAATTAATAATTTACTTTGTGGATTTTCTGAATTGGCTTAAAACTTCTCCCCCAACTTCTAGGTAGTACAGACTTTACTTGTTTGTATGTTTTTCCTCCTTCACTAAAATGTAACCTCCAGGTAGTAGGGCTTTATCCATCTTATTCATCACTGGATCCTCATAACCTAGAACAGTGCCTGGAACTTTGTAAGGGCTCATTAAATACATAGTGAAAATGTAGGAAGAAAAGATATTAAAAGCCATTTAGTATTATTTGCAAGTCCGTTAAGATACAGTTGTGGGTTCTGAGAAAAGATAGTGTAGACTTAGCCCAGGCGGTGGTGTAAAGGTGATGGGACATCTGGTTCCTCAGTTTCCTTCTTTCTCCATTCCTGGATTGGAGGAAACACCTGAACATGTGGAATCCCAATGCTGGGCAGCCAGGGCCAAATCCTTACCCCCTAACATCGGGTACCCTGGAGGTTGCAATCCTGCCCATCCACCACCTGCCAACCCTACCTTTCCTCCAGGCCCCTTTCCCACTCCCCCAGGATCACCCCAGGGGAATCCAGCTTTTGCCCCTTAGTGGACCTGTCATCCTGTGCCACAACCACGTAACCAGGATGCCAACCCACAGGTCCTTACCCCCCTGCATACCCACCACCTGCCCTTGGCATGCATCCTGTGAATCCTTTGGCTCCTGGCATGGTAGGACCAGGAATGGTGATCCACAAGAAGATGCAGAAGGAAATGAAAAAAGCTCACAAAAAGAAGCACAAACACCACAAGCATGGCAAGCATTTCTCCTCCTCCTCCTCCTCCTCCTCTTCCTCCTCTTCCAGCAGTGACTCTGACTGAATACAGGGCCTGGACCCTTCCCTCAAATCCCTCCAGTTGTGCTCTCCCGTCAAGCTTCAGATGCCATCTTGTACTGGGGGAAATCAGCCCTTGAGTCTCTCCCCTCCCCACCCCTGCAATCTGAGCCTCACTCTGCTTTTCAACCCTAACTGGCTAGGGAAAATGGGAAAAGAATTGCCATGGGCTAGCGAAGGCCATATTCTCACTGCTTGGATAGAATTTTTTTTTTTTTTTTTTTGCGGTACGTGGGCCTCTCACTGCCATGGCCTCTCCTGTTGCGGAGCAACAGGCTCCGGACGCGCAGGCTCAGCGGCCACGGCTCATGGGCCCAGCGGCTCCGCGGCATGTGGGATCTTCCCAGACCGGGGCACAAACCCGTATCCACTGCATCGGCAGGCGGACTCTCAACCACTGCGCCACCAGGGAAGCCCGGATGGAACTTTTAGCTTATGAGTTTTACAAGAGTTTTACTTTTTGAAGATGGTGAAATTTGAGCAAAATGCTGAAGACAAGTCTAAGATCTGTAAAATGTGATTTTTTACTTCTTTTTGTAATACTTTTGATTGGGGAGATGCTGTGGAAATTTAATTATGGAAAACAAAAAAACAACCTGTACCTTTCTTGTAATTGTGGCATGCTTGGGTGATTTAGTGGCAAATAAACATTTCCCAGCAGGCCTTTTATTGATTGCACTTACTGCAAGCCTGCTGGGAAGTGGAGCCCATTTTTGGCTGATGAGCTCTGACTGCCATTTTGGAAACTAATCTCTACTCCTTAGCTCAGTATGCTCCCTCAGGTCCTCCTCTCATCTCCAATTCTCAGTCCAAATAAAGCTGTTTTTCCTGAGGGGGTGGTGGGGGAGATAGTATAGACTCACTTTTCCCTGTTCCTCCTTTCTAAATCTACTTAATACCTTGGAAATATTCAGCAGTATAAAATGACTTTGAAATATAGAAAAAAGGAATAGGACTGGCTAAAGACCTTAGAACTTACAGAACAACACCAAGTGAGTTAACTGGTTTTCTTTTTATCTCCAATTTATCTGAGTCGGGCAGCAGTTGTGACTCAGAACTGGCAACAGGCATAGACAAAATAATAAATCTGTAAATAAGCATGAAAAGTCTGTTCTCTTTGGCCAAAAGATCAGGAAAGGGAAAACCCAGTAGAGACTTAGTGAGATGACTCGTACCAAGTGACAGCAGCTGACCCATTAGCAGTGTTTGGGGGCCAACCCATCCCCTACCCAAACCTGCAATAGCAACAGCAGAATTTGGAAGGGTTAGCCCACCCCATTCCCCACATCCACCAACTAGTAATGGACCTGATCTGCCAACAGTGGAACCAGGAGGCCCAAAACACAGGGCTCGTATGTGCCAGCAGCAGCAGGTCAGTATGTCTGCAGGAGTGGCAAGGGCAGAACCCAGGGGGCCAACCCATCCTCCACCCCACAGCAGGCAGCAGCACACAGGCTCCCTCCACCTGCACTGGTGGTACCAGTAGGCCCTGTGTGTCTTTATCCTTCCCCCAACAGTGGAGAGAGAACTAGACCTGGCAACACCTGGCCCTCCACCAGGGCCATAGTAAGATCCAGACCAAGTGTCTCTCAACCCTCTATCCAATGGCAGAAGGCAATCCAGGGGCAGAAGGTAAACTAGACCAGGGTCTCCCAAACCTCCGCCCAGTGGCAGAGAGCTATGCAGCCCAGACCCCACAGTTCTTGACCTTGTACCCAGTGGCAAAAGACAGCACATGTAGTTGCTTCCCTTCCCCAGCAGCACCAACAGTGATATAATGGGAACCCCATTAGTACCAGGAGACCAGAGAACATACCAGGAGAAAGGTTTTCCCTCCTCCAGGTCCAGCACCCCTCACCCCCACCTAATGACACCAGGCAGCCCAGGGAAGCACCTTCCACTCCTTCAGGCAGCACCAGCAGTATTCCAGCTGGAGCTCACGCAAAGCTAACACAACAAGCAGACCAGAATAGGGCTCAGAAAACTAAATTATCATTGGCCGTACAAAGACTTTATGCATATGGCCATAGAAAGACTTGTATCTTTGAGTGAGCATTAGACAAAAAGTCCTTTCCTTGTTTGTCTACGCTAGTAGACATACCTATTTGTGAATAGTCTCCTTAGGAGAAGTAAAAGACTCTTGCTCAACTTATTCCACCTATTCTCACTTTCCAGAAGAAGAAAAATCACACTAATAAGAATTAGTCTCTGGGAATTCCCTGGCTGTCCAGTGGTTAGGACTTGGGCTTCCATTGCCGTGGGCCAGGGTTTGATCTCTGGTCAGGGAACTAAGATCCCACAAGCCGTGCAGTGAGGTCGAGAGAGAGAGAGAGAGAGAGAGAGAGAGAGAGAGAGAGGGAGACAGAGAGAATTATTCCCTAAATAAATTTGGGGCAAATATGCATATAGATCTGTTAAGCAGTAACTGTGTAGGTGATGCATTTGTTTGTCAATGGATATTTATATGCAGTGTCTAATTGAAATGTAATATAAACTTGTTTTTAGATACTGAAATTTTTTAGGCCAGAAATACTGTTAATGAAAATATGTAACACTATAAGATTAACCAAATAGCCCACAACAAACTAAATTGACTACGATAAAGGAAAAGTAAAATTAATTCATTCATTTCTTCATTCAACAAAAATTTATTAATTACCTACTATGCATCAGTCAACAACAACAAAATCTCTGCCTTCATGGAACTCATATTCTAATAGAATTCAAAAGCAAGAATAGCAGTTGATATTACAGGATCAACGTAAGACAACACTAATGGTCTTTCAGATTGTCTTGTGGGGTGGGCCTGAATTACTTCTAAATGCCTGCCCTGTGCGTGATCTGAAGCTTTGTCTCAGACAGAATTGGATTGTGAGTTGAATCATATTGGTATTGATAGTATCTAGGTGAAAATAGGTCCAGAGAACTCATGAGTAAATAATTAATTTCTTAGAGTAATAAAGCATAGAATATTGAAAGTTAAATGGGCACTTTGCCCTCCCCCAGTATAATCAATTTCCATAGGAATTGTTTCTAGCCAGCTGGCTGTGAGACAAGCTGAATAAAGACTAGAAGGTTTCAAATATTTTTAAATCAAAATATTTACGAAGATAACTATCCTGCTCATATACCATATTCCATTTTAAAACCCTCTTTGTAGCCAGGATTTCTTCTCAATATCAAATTAAGAAATCTATGTATAAAGATATCAAATCACTATGTTGTATACCTAAGGCTAATATAATATTGTATGTTAATTATAATTCATAAAAAAAGTTTAACAGCTGAGCCTTCTGGGGAATCTATATTTCTTTACACAGGGTCTCAAAGTAGTGGTAAACCTTTAGATCAGAATTTGGCTATGTGTTCAATTTAGAAGACTGCCATTAGTGATTATCAGTACGCTCCACTAAGTGCCAATGGCAGGCTTAAATAGACGAAAAAGAAGAAAGAGAATCAAGAGGGAAAAATAGTTATAATGAAGTGGTAGAACTTACCTATCTGCTATGTATTGCCTTTCCTTGGTTGTTAATCTATAACTACTTCTGAAAATAGAAGTAGATGGAAGTAGAAAAATACTTGTTGGTTTTGCTTTGGAAATTTAATTGGTAAACCTAAAATAGGACTTAAAATTTTTTCTTTTCAGAAGTTTAAGTACTATCTAAAAGAGAAATGTGTTCATGTGTCAACTTGGCAAATTCAAGTCTTCTAACACATTAATTTAGAAAGGTGAAATCTGTTTGGTTAATTGGTGGCATCTTTTAATGAGAAGCTTGAGTTTTGTTGAGGAAAGAAATGTTCAGACAGTCCTATGGCCTTTAAAAAGTTTGGCTTTATACTGCCAGGCAGCCAGATACTAAGAGGAGAACATAACAGTTGTAATTGAGTAGCTTGAACCTCCTAGAGATTTCCAAGCTGTATCCTATAATATATTATGGTCATGTTAAGCAGTGTATTCATTCAGGCACCTTGGAAGGGTGCTGGGGAGTATCACTTGATAACTGAAATGCTCAATTGTTGATATTTAACTCATAGTCTCAGGCTCTTACCAGGAGTCCTCAGGGCACTGATACTTAAAAAGAGGGAAGGCAAAGAATTCCCTGGTGGTCCAGTGGTTAGGACTCTGCACTCTCACTGCCAAGGGACCTGGGTTCAATCCCTGGTCAGGGAAATAAGATCCCACATGCCGCGCAGCACGACCAAGAAAAAAAAAAAAGAGGGCACATTTTGATACACCAGTTTTGTATCTCATGCTGCCATCATAGCATCAAAAAATAGACGTTTAAATCATGACTAATGTCAACACACAGTAGAATGAAATAGTTGATGATTTCAGTGATTTTAAACTTTTCTTTCTTTTTTTGATATGTGTGCAGCAATGAAAACTGCTGGATGTAACTTAGATAAGGTAAATATTCTTCCTAATGCTCTGATCACTCCACTCATATCAAGCAGTGTGATTAAGAGTGAAGATGTTACTCCAATGGAAGTAACAGCAGAGAAAAGATCTTCCCCTATTTTTAAGGTGAGCTGCATTGACTAGTGCCCCACATGTTAACCTCAAATATAAAAATTGCTATATTTTGAGTAGTTTGACTTCTTTTCCCCATATTTATGCTTTTTACTTCTCCTATTTCTTTTATATCTGTTTCTCTTCGGATTCACTTAATGAATTTTGCTTTGCAGAGTAAATGATTTTATATTCAAATAAAATAGCCTGTGAAGCAACTTCCAATATACATTTTTTTTAACATCTTTATTGGAGTATAATTGCTTTACAATGGTGTGTTAGTTTCTGCTGTATCACAGAGTGAATCAGCTATACGCCAATATACATTTTTGACAAGGGAGGGATTAATACATTACCTAGACCTTTGTGATGTGTGGTATTAATGAAAGTACTGGTTTTAGCATTTTCAAAACTAGAGACATTTTATTTCCTTTTCTCCACCAGTCTTTTCCTAAAGCTCCTTTTCCATTTTACCTTTGTTCCCCCCTCTCAATAATGTTACCAGTGATCCACAAATGGACATATTTTTAAATTGGCTATTAATTCATCAACCATAGAATTATTGTGTTCTTACTCTCCAGCAGCTGATTATTCTTCTACTTATTTGACTATCTTTGCTTATAATACTTATTTAAAAATCCCGATGACAGTAAGACATAATGTTATCACTGAGAATCACAGTCTTACACCTGTTTTCCAAATAATAATATAGAGGGTAAAATTGGCCCTGCATATGTTTTTATAATAATAATAATTTTTGAAGTATCATATGAGTTCATTTAATATTTATATGTACATGTTATTTGGCAATTTTTATTTTTTAGACTACAAAGACAGTTGGATCCACTCAACAAACATTAGAAAATATCTCTAACATAGCAGGAAATGGGTCTTTTTCATCATCATCATCATCTTCCCACTTACCTTCTGAAAACGAAAAGCAACAACAGATTCAGCCCAAGGCATACAACCCAGAGACCCTGACAACTATCCAAACACAGGACATTTCACAGCCTGGTACCTTTCCAGCAGTTTCTGCTTCTAGTCAGCTGCCCAACAGTGATGCACTACTGCAGCAGGCTACACAGTTTCAGACAAGAGAAACTCAGTCTAGAGAGGTATTACAGTCAGATGGTACAGTGGTTAATTTGTCACACCTGACTGAGGCATCACAGCAACAGCAGCAGTCACCACTACAAGAACAAGCACAGACTTTACAGCAGCAGATTTCATCAAATATTTTCCCATCACCAAATAGTGTGAGTCAGCAGCTACAGAATACAATTCAACAGCTGCAGGCAGGAAGTTTTACAGGCAGTACTACTAGTGGCAGCAATGGAAATGTTGACTTGGTCCAACAAGTTTTAGAGGCACAACAACAGTTATCTTCAGTTTTATTTTCTGCTCCAGATGGTAATGAGAATGTTCAAGAACAGCTTAGTGCAGACATTTTTCAACAAGTCAGTCAAATTCAAAATAGCGTAAGCCCTGGAATGTTTTCCTCAACAGAGCCAGCAGTCCATACCAGACCAGATAATTTAATAGCTGGAAGAGCTGAAAGTGTTCACCCACAGAATGAAAACACATTATCTAATCAACAACAGCAACAACAGCAACAGCAAGTGATGGAATCATCAGCTGCAATGGTGATAGAGATGCAACAGAGTATCTGCCAGGCAGCTGCCCAGATTCAGTCAGAGCTATTTCCTTCAACTGCTTCAGCAAATGGAAACCTTCAGCAGTCTCCAGTTTACCAGCAGACTTCTCATATGATGAGTGCGTTATCAGCCAATGAGGACATGCAAATGCAATGTGAATTGTTTTCTTCTCCTCCTGCAGTTTCTGGAAATGAAACTGCTACAACCACCACACAGCAGGTTGCAACTCCTGGCACTACCATGTTTCAGACATCAAGTTCAGCAGATGGAGAAGAAACTGGAACACAAGCAAAACAGATTCAGAACAGTGTCTTTCAGACCATGGTCCAAATGCAACATAGTGGAGAGAGTCAACCTCAAGTTAGCCTTTTTTCATCTACGAAAAGTATGATAAGTGTTCAAAATAATGGTACTCAGCAGCAAGGTAATGGTTTATTCCAGCAAGGTAATGAGATGATGTCACTCCAATCAGGGAATTTTTTGCAGCAGTCTTCTCAATCACAGGCTCAACTCTTTCATCCTCAGAATCCTATTGCTGATGCTCAGAACCTTTCACAGGAAACTCAAGGTTCTATTTTTCATAGTCCAAGTCCTATTGTCCACAGTCAGACTTCTACAACCTCCTCTGAACCAATGCAGCCTCCAATGTTTCACTCTCAAAATACCATGGCTGTGCTACAGGGCTCTTCTGTTCCTCAAGACCAGCAGTCAGCCAACATATTTCTTTCCCAGAGTCCAATGAATAATCTTCAAACTAACACAGTAGCCCAAGAAGAACAGATTTCATTTTTTGCAGCTCAGAATTCAATTTCTCCACTTCAGTCAACATCAAACACTGAGCAGCAAGCTGCATTCCAACAGCAGGCTCCAATATCACACATCCAGACCCCTATGCTTTCCCAAGAACAGGCACAACCCTCCCAGCAAGGTCTGTTTCAGCCTCAGGTTTCCCTGGGCTCCCTTCCTCCTAATCCAATGCCTCAAAACCAACAAGGAACAATCTTCCAGTCACAGCACTCAATGGTTGCCATCCAGAGTAACTCTGCATCCCAGGAGCAGCAGCAGCAGCAACAGCAGCAGCAGCAGCAGCAGCAGCAGCAGCAGCAACAGCAGAGCATCTTATTCAGCAATCAGAATACCATGGCTCCAATGGCATCTCAAAAGCAGCCACCACCAAACATGATATTCAACCCAAGTCACAATCCAATGGCTAATCAAGAGCAGCAGAACCAGTCAATTTTTCATCAACAAAATAATATGGCCCCAATGAATCAAGAACAGCAGCCCATGCAATTTCAGAACCAGCCCACAGTTTCCTCACTTCAGAACCCAGGTCCTGCCCAGTCCGAATCATCACAGACCTCCTTGTTCCATAGCTCTCCTCAGATTCAGTTGGTCCAAGGGTCACCCAGTTCTCAAGAGCAGCAAGTAACACTCTTCCTTTCTCCAGCATCCATGTCTGCATTGCAGAACAGTATAAACCAACAAGACATGCAACAGTCTCCCCTTTATTCCCCTCAGAACAACATGCCTGGAATCCAGGGAGCCACATCTTCACCTCAACCACAGGCTACTTTATTTCACAACACTACAGGAGGCACAATGAACCAACTACAAAATTCTCCTGGCTCTTCTCAGCAGACTTCAGGAATGTTCTTATTTGGCATTCAAAATAGTAAGAAACTCTTTCTAATTTCTCATTTCTTAAATGTTATTGGTCGAAATGGTCACATTATTATTACTAGAAGAAAGCACAACATAGCGGTTTTAAGAGCACAGATTGTAGTTAGACACAATTGAGTTCAAATCCCAGCTATACCACTTACAGACTGAGACCTTAGGATATTTGACCTGCATGAACCTCAGTTTCCATATCTAAAGTGGTGGTAATATTACATACTTGAAAAGGATATTGGGAGGATTAAATGTGGTAACATATATAAATGTATGTGTTTGCCATTTTAAGATATAAACTTGAAAGGAAAATGAAGTAAGAATGACAGAAAATTTTTCAGCCAATTAAAGTAAGTAGTTTCCAAGGAGGTAGAAAACCATGTTTCTTTAAATGTTTATATAGCAAGGAAATTATATAGGACTTATGGTGATAACTAAGCATTGTTGTATTTTTATACTGCTTAGAGGAAACCTAGGATGAATTCTACTACTGTTCAATGAAAACCTTTTTGGAGGCTGTCAGGTGCCTCACTTTTAACTCTATAATGAGCAAACACAGTAATGAATTTATCCCAACCACTAATAAATAACCTTCTTATGAATCTTAACAGAAAATAACTAATCAGGTAGCTTCTCTATTTTAAATATCTCTGCAGACTGTAGTCAGCTTTTAACTTCTGGACCAGCTACATTGCCAGATCAGTTGATGGCCATAAGTCAGCCAGGCCAACCGCAAAACGAGGGCCAACCACCTGTGACAACACTTCTTTCTCAGCAAATGCCAGAGAATTCTCCATTGGCATCCTCTATAAACACCAATCAGAACATTGAAAAGATTGATTTGCTTGTTTCATTGCAAAACCAAGGGAACAACTTAACTGGCTCCTTTTAACTGGATATGTGAGTATTGCATTTTGGCTTTTTTCTTATTGAAAAGCATCAATAAATTTTATTATTCTTAGCAGATTTGAGTTAAGTAATAACACTGTTAGGACTCTGATCTTTTAAAATATGGCTTTCTCACAAGATGGTACTTTTTTACCCTAAATAAATTACTCTGAATGATAGCTTAGGTCATATTGTTAATACTGGGCATTCCTTCTGGCTCTAAGCTTCTTTTCCTTGGAATGACAGAACATCCGATGAATGTACTATATATCAGATATAATTATGACTCATATCTCCGTTCCTCAAGAAATAAATATTGAATCTGAAAAGTCTGACAGTATAAATATGATAAAGTATCATTTGTAGTACTGTAATATACTTTGGGATCATTCAGGGCTACGGGAACTTTGTAAAGGCTTTCCCTCCCTATTGAGTTATATTAAACTTCTTCTTTTTTTAGAAATTCCATGAAGAAAATCCTGATTTCAAGATACCCTGAGATCTTGTGATTCCATGAGGATTATTGAACTGTTACTTTAAAAAGAAAACAAAATATGAAAAACTGTGATTGAATAAATGGATGGATTTTACTCTGACTGCAAAAGAGCACACCTGTGCTGCCTATTGCAGTGATTAACCACCATTGTTAACACCTTTTTATTTTATATTCCTAATAACAGTGATGACTGAGAATCTATTTGAGTTTCCAGCTGACAGAATTAATTGTTGCTATTTTCCTAGGCATTATTTCTTTAAAAGTACAGTTTAAATTGATAAGCTGGATCACTCAGTTATTATTGCTATTAGAAAATAATTCATGTTTCATGTTTACTTTTGTTCTTCATTCAGATTTTCTTTCCTGCATTTAGTCAAGTAGTGGCTTTTGAAAAAGGAAAGTTCAAATCATAACTTAGGCTGTGATTTTTCAATATAAAAAGCACAGCTATTGGCCAAAGTGAAGCAGTCTTCATTCAGTTTTTATAGAGAAACTGAAGGGGTAACATTCTGACAGGTAAGCTGTATTAAGAGCTCTACACAGATAAGAGGACTCTATTTATCACAGACAACACACAAACTGGGAACAGCTGGAATGCTATTGATTTTATTTTTCAGAGAGTTGTTAATTCTCTGTGTTTCTGTTAAGGGTTTTAGCCATAACTGTGCATAGAAAAATATAAACATCTTGCTCTATTTAAAAATGAAGGGGATAATATATGGTAAATTATGTTCTGATATCCTCCTACAATAGTTAAAACTGACAGAGCAATTCAAGTCTGTTTTCTTCTTATCCCAGTCTTGAACTGGTATTCCATTTTTATGTTCAGCGATACTGTTCTTCCCCTCTTCTTCACTTTATTTTAGACAATTAGTAATATATTACTAGCTTTGTGATCCTGTAGTAACTTAAATGAAAAGACCACTTTGATCTGGGGTAACCCAGCAACTCCTGCAGCACAGGCCGGGGGGTATCCTTTCAGGAATGAGGGGAGCTGACTCCTGAGAAACAAGAAACAATGCATTTTTTTTCCATGAACGGTGCTGTTCTGACGTCTTCAAATTTTTCCCTCTAATAGGAAACAGTGTAAATGTTAATCTGAAAAAAAAAAAGACAAACTAAAATTTCTTGAAACATCACTTCTCCCTGAGCTGCAGTGAGTGTAATTCACTTGTCACCTCAGTGCTTTACAGTTTGAAGTGGTCACTTATCTGATGGTTCCCACAAGCCTTAGGCTTTACAGGGTCATATCATTGACTTAATATGAAGAATTAATTTGTGTTACATCTATACAGAGCAAAATAACACACTCCAGAACTTGCAGTTGTAGCATTAGTTATACAGATTTGGGTGTTCGCACCACCCATGGGATGCCTGCTTCTCTCTACAACCTGTTGTCTGGACACATGCTTATGTCTTACTCTCCTTTTGGCATGTAGAAAGCTGTTAATACAGTTTAAGGCCAAATTGTGTGTGGCTTCTATATGTAGATAAGATGTTTTGGCATTCTTGTCAGTTTCATTTATTTTTTAAGTGTACAAAAAATAGCCTGTTAATTGTTTGTTGAAGGCTACAATTCTGTTTTTTATTTTTTCTATCCGATACATTTAGCTGAACTTTGTGGAATTGTGGTGTTGGTTTTGTTTATACAGTCAGATTTTTCCCCCTTTTTGTGATGGTCTTCCTTGGTTCTTTGTGCTCTTCTTTAATTTGTTTTTTCTCTTTGTTCTCATTTATTCTTCCCTCCACCCCCAACCCTTTCTTTCTCTCTCTGATTGAGAGTCATTGAATTATGTTTTCAGTAGTACAGGCTTCTTGCCGATATGAAGGGAACTTTTCAGAAAGAGACCTACTCTGGGTCATTTAATTTTGAATACAGTTTTCAATCGTTCAAGTTTTGGATGGTTTATATCTAATGTGTGTTTCATTTTTTTGGAAAGCTATATTTTGTATTTAGGAAATGGTATACTATTTTGCTATTTGTACTGAGTGAGTACATTGGCATAAATATAGAAATTTATATATATACATATATATAAACTATTCTTTTTTTGCCACACATTTTTGTGGTAAATTTGTGAGTTTGTCTGATGTTCTACCACAACGTGGCGTCTGATAAAAGTGAGGGGGGGTTTGTTATGTCTTTATTGAGTATTTAAGTATCTTTTGAAACAAATGACCTTTTCATCTGTGGCCATTCCATCAGGCGGTTCCTTGATGTGATTAGTGGGCTAAAGGCAGCTCACTGTGTGTTCGCTGGATCTTTCACTCAGCAAAACGTTAGAGTAAGGAAACCCATCCAGGCAGTTGTGTAAGTTGAGTTTCACAAGAATGAGCCATTCAGTCTTTGCTCACTATATATTTAATATTTTATTATTGTTGTTATTGTTATTATTAATTGGCTTTCTGTATTCTATGCCTTTTATTTATAAAGACACTAAAAAAAAACCCATGTTTGTAATTTTAATAACATTTTCCCCATCTTGTAATATCCAGAGCTACTTTATAAATTCTCTAAACCAAAAGCATTTTCCTCAATATATCTCTCTCTCCCCACCCCATCACGAAAATTTACCCAGTATAGTTCAGGGTATGAGAAGGACCACACAATCCAGTGCTCCAGTTTTAAAATGTAAAACTCTTAACTGCAGAGGGTTGACTCATGTCAGTAAGCTTATCCAGTGGTATAAAAATAAGAAGTAGAAATAAAATGCTGTAAGTTTATTTCTGAGTTTTCTGAATTTTTTCCCAAGAGATTACACAGGAGACTCAGGAAGTCTATTTGTTCATCAAGTTCCAGTTAGAATGTTAACACTGCTGTATGGATAAAGTGGTGGCAAGAAGACTGGCTTGGGTGCTGACTTCTGTTATTTAGCAAGAAGTTTATCATTGTAAAATGCTGATTGCCAATGCCAAGTCACCAGGGACCAATTTTCTGTTTTATAATATCTAAGTTTAGAACAGAACATACACCTGAACTGTAGTGGTTTGATTGGATGGAGGCAGAAAACCCAATTTTTATTTTCATAAGTTTTGTGGTTATTTGTACAAGGGCTGTGCTAAGATACCATATTCTTATTCAATAATGATGATTTTTTTTTTTTTTACATTGTTAAATGTTCCTTACCCCTAAAAGGTCAATGTTAAGTATAGCATTCAGAACATACTATTTGGTTACAAAAAGTACTCGTCTTCTTATTGAAGAGTTAGCTTAGTAGTCAGTGGTTGATACTTGTGCTAATAATGCAGTTTCAAGATTACTGTTACAAGTTATATCTACATATAGGAGAGACTCCATGAGCCAACAGAGGCCTTGGAAACAACAACTTATTAAATTTACTTATGGCAGAAGGACCTAAATAAACTATAAACCACATTTTATTCCTTTTTATTGTTACATTCAATCGTTCTTGCTTTTAGCAACTTACATTAATGCTTGGAGCTTACCTGCGTGTCTGCGTGAGTGTGTGCGCACGCGCACATGTGTGTGTGTGTGTGTGTGTGTGTGTGTTTTATTCCTTATTGTCATTCCATTATATATCCACACCAACATGGGAGAAAATAATTAGAAGTCATATTTTGCTTCTGAGCTTTATCATGTTACCTTATTCTAATTACAAATAGAGTATCATGTTGTTATCTAACCAATGCAAATCTGTTTTCGCCAGTCTCCCTAGAACAGGTTTTTAAAGGGCTTTGTTTATTATAGAAGCAGTATTAATGAGGGACCTTCCTTCCTTTCTTTTTTTGTAATACTGTATACGCTGTAGTTGGGAATTTCATTATAGTGCATTTCTTGCCCATCAGAACCTCAGTTAATCTGCCTAGGAAAAATTGTGTCAAAGGGAATGAGAAAAGAAGTTATATTGAGTCCCTCCAGAACTAAGATAATAATTCCTTTTGACCATTTAAGCCATTATAGAGGCTTATTTTGGAAAAGTGAAGTCTGTTTAGATGCATCAGCAATTATAGACCAGAAATTAAATGCTTTAATAACCAAAATCTCAAATTCAGCATGGTTTATAAACATTCACTAGGAGTAATTTGAGAATGTTTCATCTTTCTGGTGAGAATTTCTGTTCTAGTATCTGTTTTCCAGTTGTTTTTTTCCTAATTAATTGAAAATTATATGAGACCTATTAGCTTTACTCTGCTTCATGACCACAGGCTTCATCCCTAACCAAGACAGCCACATTATATCTGCATGCCTTTGGTTATATGGAGAGCCTTAATGAGAGAGAGAGAGAGAGACTGTATATAGTTCATCAGCTTTAGAATCTCATAACATGTATTAAAAATGGTTTTCTTCTCTGCTTATTTGTGTCACTAGAGCTAAATCATGAAGATAATGTTCATACTGTAGTAAATATCAGAATAATACCTAGAATATCATTTGTGAATTGTCCCAGTACTCTAATTGCTTCTTTAATCCCCATTTGTTTTCGTGTCATTCTAGGCTCATTTATTAATAAAATTCTATTTTTACTCCATTTTCTCTTTCAGGAAATTTTTTTAATTAATATTTTAGATCTAGATTAAATGCTATGGAAAAGTGCCTTTTTACCATGTTAGTGCCCCTTTCTTATAATTTCATTTTTCACTGTTGCCAAAAACACATAGCGAATGACTTTAATAGTCTCAACTTTCATTTTTTCTATTTAGTCATTTTTTTCTCCATTTCTTGATCACCGTAGAAACAACTTCATAACTTTCTAACACCCTTTGGCATAAGAGGAACAGAAAAGATACATAGCTAGAATTGTTTCTTTGAAGGAGGCTAAGTAAAAGATCACAAAATTATACTATTTAGCATTTATAGAAATTAGCTAAATTTGTCTTCATCTTGACCAACTAATAATAGGTCTTATCTGAATGCTATTGAAAATTTTACTATATGTGAGACTATGTACACAAATATGGATAGTTAAATTTCAGAAAGGAAGTGTTTGAAGCACCTTCTCTGATCTTTATTATAAGATGGGTGAAAATAAACCACTAACACATAGTTTAGGTAAAGCTTAGTAATGTCAATTTTTCTAACCATACGGAGTCAAATAATTCATTATAGTGTACTTCTCGTCCATCAGAACTTTAGAAATCTGCCTATGAAAAATAGTGTCAAAGGAAATGAAGTTGTATCTGAGTCCCTCCAGAACTAAAATAATTCCTTGCAGCCAAATACAGTTGGATTGAGTATCCCTCTGTTTTTTGTTAATTTTGCCTATGTTCCAGCTCCTTACCATAGTGGTGGTGCCTGAAGAAAGAGCCATCAGCAACAAACAGGTCAGGAGAGTAGTAGCTTAGGGATAGAGCTGCTTTCCCCATGTGAGTATTTCTGTGACTGTTAGTGGCACTAAAGACTGCAAACCTTTATGCAATATTCTCAATACCCTAATGATATTATGCACTTTAATCATTCCAAAGAAGTCAAGAATGCTGTATAGTTATGATTCCTTCTTGATGAGTATATCTTAACTGTTTAGAATATTTATGTCCCTTTTTATTTTGGATAGCCAACTTGGTATGGAAATATTTTCTAAAAAGTATAGTAGGACTTAAGACTTTGAAATGTAACTGACTATAAGGGGAAATTATTACACTTCAGAAAATCATTTTAGAAACATTAAAATGTTCGGCTTTCTAATGATATGTTTGAGAGTTAATTAAAACCAGCCCTCTTCCTATATTTTTTGTTTCATATTAATAGCATTATAGTATATAGTTTTCTATATATATAGTATGTATAAACCAATGGTTCTCAAAGTGTGGTCCTCAGCCCACCAGCCAACATCCGTATCACCTGGGAACTAGTTAAAAATGCAAAATCTTGGGCCTTATCCCAGACATAGTGAATCAGAAACTCTGGAGTGGGACTCAGCAATCTGTTTTTTAACAAGCCTTTCAGGTGATTCTGATACATGCTAAAGTTTGAGAACCACTGGTGTAAACTGTATACAGTAAGATCTAGAAAGGGCTTTTTTTTCCCACTCACACAGACACAGTTATACATTGTTTTTAATGTAAATTCAATTTAACCTGGTTATCTATAATCATTTATTGGCAATGATAATTTATTCTCAGTACTGCCTATAGAAATACAGTATATTTTATGTACATATAAAATTAGTCTAGTTATTGATAATTCAGTTAGTTTGGCATTTTCATACCACTTACTAAAAAGTTTACATTAAATGACTGATTTAAATATATAGGTGCAATGTTCTGTGTTTATTTTAACTATTATGACAGTTAAGTAGCTAATACAATTGACGGGTGCTAAAGTCTCCTGTTTATCCATAAAATGGATACATTGTGGGCAGTGATAATAAAAGCTTTCTTTTCATTGCCTCTTACTTTACCAGCAGACCACAATTTTGGCCCATCTAGACCAACTCTCAGAACAAAATTATTTGTCATTCCTTATATTTACATTTGTATCTGAGCTATTAAACAACATAGCTAGCCAGGTCAACAAAACATCTTATTTAATTTCTTTTTTTAATAGATAAATCTTCTTTTAAAATAGCTTGCTTTGTATGAGAATTGATGCACTAGAAATATAACTATCCTTGGAACTTATGCTTCAGACAAGATGTTAAACAAGACACTGTATTATTTAATTTGAGCATTTCTCCCTTCCCAGTTATATGCATCCTGTTAAATGTAAACTAACCATAAGATAAGTAGATTTATTCATTCATTTTAATCTCCCTGTATAATTCAGTACCTCCATAATTGTTGGTGTTTACAAATCACCAATTAATAAACTCATGTAAGAAAAGTAAACATTTCAAAATGAAAATAATTGTACACTCACTTTATGAAAATCACCACTGCTCTCTTTGCTTAAAACTAGCAGTGGAAATACAAGTGGCTTACTCTGCAAACTTTGGTGCTGGAAATACATAGGCAAGCTGTTGGGAGATGCTCTAGCTACATTCCTCCTTTCTTGTTCCCCTTCCCCTCTTCCCCGCTTTATTGCATACTGTATTTGTATATCCAAAGCATTATACCATACCACAATTCTGTTCAACTCCAACTTGTAATATTTCCTTTAAAGGCTCTGTGTTTAACCGTATCACCCTGTTTTGTTTTGTTTTTTTTCCAGAAGTAACTTGCCTGATTTGAAATAGTTTGTATTATTTTAGCTAACGAACCTCAGGACAGCGCGCACACACACACACACACACACACACACACACACACACATCTCAGATGTTTGAGAGTGGCTTTGGAATCAGACTGTGTCCAATAAAGAACTGTCCTGCATGGAAGTGTTTATGACTTTCATAGCGACAAACTGATTCCAATGATATTGAGCTAATTTCCTTTGATCTAATGAACGTATCTGCTCACCTTGTTCCCTTACATTGAATTGATAAGCTCCAAGTATTTATTACTTTTTTTGACAGTTTTTACTGTTTCATTCATTTCTTTTACTTAGTCTTTTAATGAATATACTACAGTTATGTCATTAACCTGTTCTCAAGTGGTTTAGCTACCATTCTGCCATTTAATTTTTTTATTTAATTTTATTTGCTTGAGCACACTGATCAACCACTGAACTGCCTTCTTCCATTGTCCTGCAATGATGTAAGTAAGGGTTACATTTTTGTGTATATGGCTTTCATAGTTGGGATTTCAGAGCACTGACACCAGATATTTTCAGTTTATTCTCTGAGGGAATTTCATTTGCATCTATGTTTTTAGCTATCTGTGATAACTTGTTAAATATTAAAAAGATATTTTGCTTCTATTGGAACATTTGTATACTTGCAACTATATTTCTGTAAACAGCTGCAGTCAAAAATAAAACATTGAAAGTTTTCATTTTGTAGTAGTTAACTGTCTTTTTTCCTCAGATTTTATGAATGAAGTCATATCCGTGAATGTCAGTTTTGAGCGACATGAGTATGTGATTGAACTTAAAAAATCAGTAGGAAAAGGTATGAAATATAGAAATATTTTTGAATAGTTACATTGTACCAGGAAGTGTACCAAGTGACTTAGTGTAATAGAATTTTTGTTTGTTTTACTTAGTTTAAATGTTTCATGTTTAGTAAAACACTGTATACATGTGGTGACAAATCTTGTATTATGGAGGTACTTTTGATGAAAACCACGTCTCTCCAGGCCTCAGTCCCACATCCAGAGGCAATCTCTTTTTATTTTTCTGTAAGTTATTTCCATATATATATATATCAGAATGTGGTACATATATCACTAGTGGTACCCAAAATGATTTCAGGTGATACATGGGTAAACATTATCTTTAAACATATATATATATATATATATAAGGTTTGGATGTACATTAGAAAAATATATAATGTGTCTACTTACTAGACTATGGGGAAATGTGAGTCAAAGACAAATACTAAATAAATACTAATACAGGTGATACATGAATATCATGTATGTGATATATAAATAACTGAAGCTTCAGAAGCACTGCTTTAAACAGTATGCTTATACCTTCTTATCAAATATAGACAGTGTCTGTTGATTCTGTGAAAATGACTGAATTTTTTTAACACATCCAAATGTTTATATATAAATGAGTTGTCACTTTAGGAGTCTAAAGTGACAACAATGCTGCTATTGTTCTAAATATGTTTAAAAGTTGTCTTTTGGCATTATTGACTGCAGCAGCACTGGAAGGGAGTAATAACCAAATGAATTTAAATAAGTATAAATATCAAAAGTACTGGGGTCCAAAAAACAGCATATGTGGGCAAAAGACTGATCCGAAAATGGGACTGCATATGAGTGGCTGCCGGAAAGGCTGATGCAATCCTGGGTTACATAATTTAAGTTACAGTGTGCAGAACAAGGGAGATAGCTGTCCTGCTTTACTCCAAGCTGGTAAGAGTCCTGCTCTATTATCTTGTGAGGAGCAGACAATTCTCAGCGGCCATATAATTAGGCCTGTAAAAGAACCGAACACCATTTATCCCTGCTCAGGACACAGAGGGACTCTAGAAGTATAAAAGCAGCTATAGTTTCTCGACAGCAACACTTAATGGTTTTTCTCTCAGGAAGACAATTGATTACTACTCTTGTGCTCTATTTCATGTTGTCATTGTCCCTGCCTGCATAGTATTTAAAGCATAGGCTCTTTTATTTAAAAAATAAATTTATTTACTTATTTATTTACTTTTGGCTGTGTTAGGTCTTCGTTGCTGCGCGCGGGCTTTCTCTAGTTGCGGTGAGCGGGGGCTACTCTTCGTTGTGGTGCTCAGGCTTCTCATTGTGGTGGCTTCTCTTGTTGCGGAGCATGGGCTCTAGGCACGCGGGCTCTAGGGCATATGGGCTCAATAGTTGCGGTTTGCGGGCTCTAGAGCGCAGGCCCAGTAGTTGTGGCACACGGCCTTAGTTGTTCCTAGGCACGTGGGATCTTCCTGGACCAGGGCTCGAACCCGTGTCCCCTGCATTGGCAGGCAGATTCTTAACCACTGTGCCGCCGGGGAAGTCCAAAAGCATAGGCTCTTGAGTTTGCCTGCTTGGGTGAAGTTCTGGCTCCTATACCTACTGTTTAACCTCTCCATTCCTCAATTTCTTTATTTATAAAGTGGAAAGAAAAATGAATGATCCTCTTAGGGTTGTTATAAGAATTAAGTAAATTAGGGCTTCCCTGGTGGCGCGGTGGTTGGGGGTCCGCCTGCCGATGCAGGGGACACGGGTTCGTGCCCTGGTCCAGGAAGATCCCACATGCCACGGAGCGGCTAGGCCCGTGAGCCATGGCCGCTGAGTCTGCGCATCCAGAGCCTGTGCTCTGCAACTGGAGAGGCCACAACAGTGAGAGGCCCGCGTACCGCAAAAAAAAAAAAAAAAAGAATTAAGTAAATTAATCAGTATAAAACTACTTAGTTCCTGGCACACAGGAGCTAAGTGCCTAATAAGTGTACCAGTCCTGTTGCTACTTTGCTCTTCTGCCTCTGGTGCACTGGATCCATATCCTTTTGCTTTTTCAAATACATCCTCCTGTTCCTTTAATTGTCCTCTTTCTTAATTTTTAATTTAATTTTTATTTTATATTGGATTATAGTTGATTTTATGTATGTTAGTTTCATGTTATGTTAGTTTCAGGTGTACAGCAAAGTGATTCAATTATACATATACATACATAATTGTCCTCTTTCTCCAGCATGAAAACCTTTCTCTCTGAGTCATATCCACTGGTATATAAATTTTCTGTAATGTCCCTCATCTCTTAAAAATATCAAACAATTTTCTTTGACCACACATCCCCACATCCCCCATACATACTATTTCCACTTTCTCTTATTCATCCTCTTGAACCCATTCCAATCAGGTTTTATCACCCTGCTCTACTGAAATAGCTCATCAGCATCACCAATGGCCACCCAAAAGTTAATTCTGAGGGCTGTTTCACTCAGTTTATCAACAGTATATGACACGCTTTGAAACACTTTTTTCACTTGGCTTTCAGGACACCGCACTCATCTCTCCTGCTACACTGGTCTTTTCCATTCTCGTCTTCTTGACCTCCTAACATTGGAGAACCCTAGAAGTCAATCATCAGATCTCTTCTCTATCATAACTCAATTTTTAGGTGTGCTCATCCAGTCAGATTGCTTTATAGACTATGTGTTGAAAATTTCCAAATGTATATCTCCAGCCATAACTTCTTTAACTCCAGGTTCCTATTATCGAACTATCTACTTGACAGTCTTAACAGGCATCTCAGAAATAACATGTCTGAAGTGAAATTTTGATTCTCCCCTTCCCACTCCCAACTTCTGCCGCCAATACTCTTTCCAGATTCTTCCCCATCTAAGCAAATGGAATTTCCATTCTTCTAATTGTTTAAGCCAAAATACCTTTGAGGGTTGGTTGGTTTGTTTTTTGACCTTGATCCAATCCATCATCAAATCCTGTTACTCTGTCCTTTGAAATACTTCCAGAATCCAACCACTTCTCAATACATCTATTGCTGTCACTTTGATCCAAAGCATTTGTTGCCTAGATTGTCATAACAGCTTCCCAGCAGTTCTCCCTGCTTCTATCATTGCCCCTTATACTTGATTCTTCACATACCAGCCAGATTTAAATGTAAGTCATATGTTACACCTCTGCTCAAAACCCTCTAGTGACTTCCTATCTCTACATTTCACAATGCTTGTAATGCCCTTTGTGGTCTGATTCCAGCTTTGTGTCTGACCTATCCCTCTCTTGCCTTCTGTGCTTTAGTCACACTAACCTCCTTGCTCTCCCTAAAGCATACTGATCATGCTGCTGCCTCATGGGTTTGCACTCACATCACTCCTGGCATGCTCTTCCTTCAGGGACCTACATGTATCATTCTCTCACTTTATCAGGGCTTTGCCCAAATATAACCTTATAGGAGAGATCTTTCTTGATCACCCTGTATAAAACTCGTATCCCATCTCTAACCCTCTTACCCTGCTCTTCCTTCGTAGCATTTATCACCACCTGACTGACATTTGTTCTTCTCTCATTCTTTACTAGAATGCAAACTTCATGAGGCTAGGTTTTTTGTCTGCTGTATTCCCAGTGCCTCTAGAAGAATGCCTGGCCCATTGATTAGATAAATCAGAATAAATCAGGGAAATCAGAATAAATATTGCTCCTCGGCATTTGTTTATTGCATTCTGTGTTTTTCTTGATTTCTATACCACTGTCTTTCCTGGATCTCCTTAAATGTCCTTTAAATTCCCTGAGAGAATCTTAGTAGGTTCCCTTGCCATTCAGAATGAAGCAGCCTTATTGGGCAAGCTCTCAAGCCAAGTCACCATATAGGCTTCTGGCCACAATTTGTCACTGAATCCTCTGATTGCTTCTTGCCCAGTAGATTCCACTTTTGCCTGAATGCCTGTCACTAGCTTCTCTGAAACCAGTGAGTGTGGGTCTGTTTTGTAGAAATGGATTTTATTTATTTCATTTGGAACTTTTAGAAATTTACATAAAACTACAGTGAAGATGAAGGCAACAGTAAATATTTTCATATGTTTTCAAACTGAAGCACCCAGCCATCTGCCATTGTGGATATTGTGGAAAGAATACCCAGTGCCTGCTGGCATCTAGCACATGAGGTTCTCCAGCCTGACGCCATCATTTCCTTGGCAGGTAAGAGGCTGTTCCCAGTTTCATGCAACCTTGCTTTGCATCATTTTCTCATGTTTTCTTTCTGTGCACCACAAGAGGGCGTTCTTTCATCATTTTCTACTTAGGTTATACCAACAGTGAGTAGAGGTGCCCCTCGATCATTTAAATAGGAAGTTAGAATGTTACGCCAAAATTGTTCACCAAAGTTAATGAAACTCTAGGCTCACAATTTTGTCCCTAAATTCATGAAACCAAAACACATCTTTAAAAGACAAGTCATCAGTTTATCAATGATACAGGAAAAACTTCCAGAAGGTTAGTTACATGGATCTGAAATAAAGTACTGTTTGTGGCAAGCTGTTTTTAGATACTGGGAGTACTGTTTCCTTTCGTGAATTCATTCATTGTAGCAGATGTAGTGTTTAGAGGTGTTGGTTTATTTGCAGACATTAAATTAGAAGATTGAATTAAAGAGATTTTTTTTAGCTTTTCATTTCAAGGTGTCTGTGTGCACTGTATAGAAACAACAAAAGCTGAAGGAGAATGACACTCGTATTAGGCATAATATTCATTGTGTAGTAATTAAAGCCAATATATCTCACAAACAAGCAGAGAGTAGTAATTACTAAACAAGTCCCTTAGGTCAGACAGATTTCGTCATTTCTTTCTCTGAGCAATTCCCTTCTGCCATAAACCACAGAGAGGTAATTAAAAGAAAAATAGATCATTGAGGAGTTGGATGCTCTCTAGCCAGATTTATTCCTAAAAATGTATCTCTAAAGAGAGGAATTAAATTGTGTAGAGGACCTTAAAGAATACTGTCTGGGATCTTTCTACACCCTCCTCTCCGGCTTTACGTCCTAAGCCTGAGAGGCCTTTTGAGCCTAATCAGATTTTGCCATGATAGCAGTTGGTTACATTTGGGACTTCCCTGGTGGCGTAGTGGCTAAGAATCCGCCTGCCAATGCAGGGGACGCGGGTTCAAGCCTTGGTCCAGGAAGATCCCACGTGCTGCGGAGCAATTAAGCCCGTGTGCCACTACTAAGCCTGTGCTCTAGAGCCCACGTGCCGCAACTACTGAGCCCACGTGCCACAACTACTGAAGCCCATGCGCCTAGGGCCTGTGCTGCACAAGAGAAGCCACTACATGAGAAGCCCGTGCACCGCAACGAAGAATAGCCCCCACTCGCTGCAACTAGAGAAAGCCCACATGCAGCAATGAAGACCCAACGCAGCCATAAATAAATAAATTAATAATTTAAAAAAAAAACAGAATCGGTTATGTTTAACAAAACTATACAAAAATGTATGAATATAGTCTGTTCTATCCATTCCTTGTGGCAAAAGAAAAACACAAATCTTAAAAACTAAAGCAAGTCAAGGAACCCCAAGAAAGAAGTCTAGATTTGGCTATATTTTAGAAGGAAATCAAGTCTTGTGAATCTTATTTTCTGGCTTTGATCTGGTTGTCCGTTGGGATGGACTTGCCCGAGTGATGGCCCACTGAAAGGCCAAATTCCTTATTTTTCTGTTCATCCTGTACCTCCTTGTTCATTAAGAATCCTGCCTAGAAGTTTAGGTCAAAGAGGCTACTTGGAGCAAAATACAGTGGCATCTCATCCCAAATATTCTCCAGGCGTTTCTTCCATCCTTCCAGGATCTGAATTCGGACATCCTCGGGAGTGTGCCCAATGCTATATGTCAGTTGAGGTTCCAAGACTTGGAAGCCACAGAAATGCAGAGTGCCACTCTGGGGATACACAAAGCACAAAGGTGAGTTACAGATCAAACCCCACAGACCTTGTACCATATACAAACAACAAAAGTTAATCTGGGTTTCCCAACAGGACACTCTGATGTGGAGGCCTGAGGCACCCTGGAAAATTAGTTCATAGCTCCACCCTCTCACCTTGTGCTTTCTGTACCTAGTTGTTACCTATTTTAGCCTATTCAGCTGTGCTCTTCTTTGAATGAAGAAAACCTTGAAACTGTGCCAGCCTGGCATTCTCTGCCAAAAGTGCCCAAAGTTCTATTACCTAAGGGTGAGTTTCAGCTTCTTGGCAACTGACCCTTGCCAAGGCATGCACATGTGCATTTCTCTGCCTCCCCACATTACTAGACAAGTCTTGATAAATTATTTTTACCATTTATTCTCCAATGTTAATATTAATTCCCTAATCCTATAGGTGGCCCCTTTTTTAAAAATATTTATTTATTTATTTGGTTTCGCTGGGTCTTAGTTGCAGCAGGCGGGCTCCTTAGTTGCGGCATGCACACCCTTAGTTGCGGCATGCGTGTGGGATCTAGTTCCCTGACCAGAGATCGAACCCAGGCCCCCTGCATTGGGAGCGCGGAGTCTTAACCACTGCACCACCAGGGAAGTCCCTCCAAGAACAACTTGAGAGAGTAAACTTTTAATACCTGGCAAACCAACCAATTCTTTTTCAGCCCTGACTGTAGAACATTCACAAGGGACCAAATCTACTTGCCTAAACAACCTGCACATTTATCCTAAAAGCTGCAGATCTGGTCCCTCACAATTGGAGCATCATAAATGTGAGAATGTGAGAAGCTACTAGAGATACCTCAAGCCCCTCTTTTTACTGATGAGGCAAATTACTGGCAGATTCAGGGTGAGAATACAGGTCTCATTCTCAGTCGTGTCCTAAAACTCTACTTCCTTATCCCCTTTCCTGTAGGTCAACCACCCTTCAAAGAGAGACCTATCAAGTCTTAAAAATTCTTTCTCTGTCCTAGTTTTGTTTTTTAACCTCTGGGCATGTTCCTGTTGTTACTGCCTTTAAGTGAGTCAAGGAGAAGAAGAAATACTGGTATGTCCTTGCTTAGCTTTTACCAGGACAAGAGGCCCAATAGGTCTTTCTCATGGCAATTCCCTGATGAACTTAAGTCACACAGATCATTTGTTTGCATATGTGAGTGGTTCTGTTTATTCTAAATGATAGGATTTTAAATCCGTGAGCACAAGTTACAGGTTTCATATTTTTGAAGCCACACCCACAAAAGCAAGCTCTTGGGAAAATATTGATTTAGGCAACACACACTGAAGCCAACTTTGCCTGCAATCCTTGCTGTTCAGACTTGGCTGCCAAATGTGATTTCATAGAAGCAAATCTTATTGCATGTGTTTCTTCACACCCACCCAATATTTGTATTTTTAGGCAGAAACAGGAGTGTCAAGTTGACTGACCAAGGACAATAATTTTCTTTTCTTTAAAATTTTCTTTTCTTGAATGTGCTAACTCCTCCAGAAGGGATGACAGGTCCTGAAGAAAGTTCCCCCCTCAGTGACATCATGGGCAGCAGCTAAGCACCCTAAGTCTTCTATTTTGGGGGTGTTCCCCATCTGACCTCTTTGTCCTCTGCCCCACAGTTCCCCCTGCAGTGGTTTGGAGTCCCTGCCATCCTGAAAGGCTGGTTTGAGTGAGTGCTCATAGGGGAGTTTGCTTACTCGTATGCTGCCGTGTATGACAAGGGACCTTTCTGGGTAGGTTGATGGTTCTGCTTTTTCTAACACCTGGATTCTAGGTAGATTCTGTCCTGAGGCAGAGTTTTGAGCACAATTAGATACCAAAATCAGGCTCCAGGTCCCTTAGGGAGAGATGCATGTCTCTCCCAAAATTTTTAATAGATATTTTCATAGATATTTTGACATGATGTTCAGGATTTTCTTTAAAATACTCCAGGAAGAAACAGGAGTGAGGGGATACTGAGAGTTAAAGCTGGGTGGTGGATGCATCATTATACTATTTTCTCTTCTTTATGTATGTTTGAAATTGTCCGTAATAAAAAAGTCAGTCTGTCTTCATTTTGCAGACACCCAAAACTATACAAGAAACATTTTTAGAGCTCCTGGATTACAAGCCTAGATACATGCCTAGCAGTGTGCGGAGATAGATAAAAAACAACAAATAACTCCACCTAGGCACCAGCAGTCAGCACTGATTTTGTGTTACCATGACAACCTTCACCTGATTTGCCACATCCAGGAGTATGGAATCCTGGGCCTGCCCCTCTGTGTACCATCTTCCAGGCTGGTATTTCTGCAGAGTCAATACTGTGAGGCTCAGAGGAGCCAATGTATGAAGTAACATAAACAACAGATGGGAGGGGGGACCTTTGTGTTCTTTCCCCTGGGGCTGTTTCGTTAACTTCCTGTCACCAAGGAGATGTGGAAGGTAATGACTTTTCTTTTACAGAATAAGAAGGCAGTGCTTTCCATCTCCACTGGTGGCAGTGGCTCCATGTACTCTCTGCAGGGTATCCACGGGGACATGAATATCATTCTCTGCCCAATTCAGGTATCTCGTTTTCAGTGACCCTTCAGGGGGATTAATGAACTTTCTGTGGAGTCCAAATCCTCCAGATAGCAGCTCCACAAACTAATTTCAGGATGCCTATGGAGATGGGGGCGGGGGAGAATTGCAAACTTGAGTGATTCCACAAGAAATAACTAACTGAAGAAAAAGATTAAACATACTAGGGAAAAAAAGCTCAAGGCTCAAATGTCATCTCTGCCATCACAGTCATATTTTCAAAGAGTAGTACAGCCAGATTCACGACATCTGTAAAGCTGTGTAACACTGCGCCTTTGAAGTAATCACCCTTCTCTACAGAGAATGCGGTCAAGTGGCTGTTACTTTCCTAAGATTACATAGCTAATTAGGTGCCAGGTCTAGGACAAAAAGAACGCAAGTGTCCCAACACCCCTTTTGATGTCTTAGCCACACCTGAAAAATCACAAGGTCTGTGGCTTGCAGCTTCTTTTGTTCGGCCACAATATCTGGGCTCAGACAGCCTTCTTTATAAGCTAGAACAGACTCGGCAGGATACTGAGAGTTCCCGGGGTCCTCCAGTTTACCTGCAGAGAGGAAAAAGAGAGGCTGACGCCAGAGGGGCCAAGGTGGGGCCAGAGAACCCACAGGCGAGAAGTTCCACAAAGACCTAATTAAAGGGGAGAGCTGCTCCCACCTGTGATGTTGTTTCTGGAGATGACGGGATTGAAGTTCATGGCATACAGGTCCGACACAGTGACCTCCCATCCTTTCCTCTTCAAAGCCTCTACGGCGGCCTCCTTCATGGCATAGTTGAAGGATGTCCTCTCTGAGTGGGCCAGTAGGATCAGTGCTTTTCTGACTATTTAGACACACACAAGGAACATGGAGAAAATCAGTCACCAACCAGCAAAGCTCTGGCTACAGGTGAGCCTAGCTGGGATCCATAATGGAAGACGTGACTTTGTTAGACCTTGGGTTATGCAATCCATCCACTGCATCAAAAAATATATTTTCTCCTTACAAGTACCAACAATCAAAGGAGGCATTTTAACTCACTGGGAAAACAGTGGCTAATTTAGTAAATGGTGTTGGCATACTTAAACAGCCATCTGCGTGAAAACAAAATTATCCCCTTAGAAGACTAATGTAAGGTGTTAGAAGTCAGTATAGCAATTACCCTCCATCAGGGGATAGTGACTAGAAGGGGACAAATGGGCTTTTGGGGTGCTGGCCGTATTCTATTTCTCGATCTGGGTGCAGATTACACAAGTGTGTCTTCCGTTTGTGAAAATTCACTTAGAACTTGTGCGCTTTTCAGTGTGTCTATTGTATTAAAGTTTTGGGTTTTAACTATCCCACTAACACACCACATACAGCAACAATTTGCTGGCAGATTAAAGATCTACATTTTAAAAAATGAAACTATTAGAATAGTATGGGATAGGGAACCCTCTTGCACTGTTGGTGGGAATGTAAATTGATACAGCCACTATGGAGAACAGTATGGAGGTTCCTTAAAAAACTAAAAATAGAATTATCATATGATCCAGCAATCCCACTACTGGGCATATACCCAGAGAAAACCATAATTCAAAAAGACACATGTACCCCAGTGTTCATTGCAGCACTATTTACAATAGCCAAGTCATGGAAGCAACCTAAATGCCCATCGACAGATGAATGGATAAAGAAGATGTGGTACATATATACAATGGAATATTACTCAGCCATAAAGAGGAACAAAATTGGGTCATTTGTTGAGATGTGGATGGATCTAGAGACTGTCTTACAGAGTCAAGTAAGTCAGAAAGAGAAAAATATCGTATATTAACGCATATATGTGGAACCTAGAAAAATGGTACAGATGAACCGATTTGCAGGGCAGAAATTGAAACACAGAGGTAGAGAACAAACGTATGGACATCAAGGGGGGAAAGCGGCGGGTGGTGGTGGTGGTGGTGTGATGAATTGGGCGATTGGGATTGAAATGTATACACTGATGTGTATAAAATTGATGACTAATAAGAACCTGCTGTATAAAAAAATAAATAAAATTCAAAAAAAAAAACCCACCAAAAAAAAAAGAATAGTATAGGATGCTTTGTGCACTCTGTTGCTTTATGTCTCATTTTTAATTGAACATTAAGGGATTGCAGTATTTTAATCATAACTCTTGCCAATATCTTTATCTAGAGGCCTGTTGCCATTTTGTCTTTTATGAAATTTTTGTCGCCAAGAAAGGCAAGATTACATTTTTCCCTTCCAGACTGAGTTGGTATAGTGTATTCTTGGTTGTGAAAATACTCATAGCTTTGGGACTTTGAAATGGTAGATATTCATGATATGTGAAAAAGCATGATACATAACTGTATGGTCTTATTTACATAAAAATGGATGCTTAGTTGTGTAGCTACCTACATAAACAAGACCTAGAAGGACACATCAAACAGTAAACTATTTGTGATTATGGATAACTTTGTTTTTTGCTTCTAATGATTTTTGGTTTCCTGTTATGCACATGTTAACTTTTAAGACATAAATGTTATTTTTTGTTTGTTTGTTTTGTTTTGGGTTTTTTTTTTTTGTGGTACGCGGGCCTCTTACTGTTGTGGCCTCTCCCGTTGCAGAGCACAGGCTCCGGATGCGCAGGCTCAGCGGCCATGGCTCACAGGCCCAGCCGCTCCGCGGCATGTGGGATCCTCCCGGACCGGGGCACAAACCCGTGTCCCCTGCATCGGCAGGCGGACTCTCAACCACTGCGCCACCAGGGAAGCCCCATAAATGTTATTTTAAAAACCTTTAAAAAAAAAAAGAATAGTATGGGATGAAAGGGAGAATTTGTATAACCTCTGGACAGAGGCTACTTTTTAAGAAAGACTAGAGATTCAGAAACCATGAAGGAAAAGCCTGAGAGATAAAGCCACATAAACATCAAAAATTTGTTTTTAACAAAAGGTCCCATAAACAGAAGCAAAAGACAATCAGGAGAAGATATCCAGAACTCATCACAAAGAGTTAAAATCCTAAAGAATGCCTACAAATAATTAGGAAAAGACAATGCAATAGAAGAAAAAGTCAAGGATATGAACACATGATTCAGGGAAGGAAATTGCAAACAACAATAAACAAATGAGAACGTGCCCTGTCAGGCCTGCAAGGAAAAGCAAATTAAAATAAGGCATCATGGGACTTCCCTGCTGGTCCAGTGGTTAAGACTCCACACTTCCACTGCAGTGGGCACGGGTTTGATCTCTGCTCAGGGAACTAAGATCCCACACGCCACGTGGTGTAGCAAAAAAATAAATAAAATAAAAATAAAATGAGACATTATTTACCGATCACTTGGCAAAACAATTTAAGACAAATAACATCAAGGGCAATTTAAGATTTCAGGAAGGGCTTCCCTGGTGGCACAGTGGTTGAGGATCTGTCTGCCACTGCAGGGGACACGGGTTCGAGCCCTGGTCTGGGAAGATCCCACATGCCGCAGAGCAACTAGGCTCGTGAGCCACAACTACTGAGCCTGCGCATCTGGAGCCTGTGCTCCGCAACAAGAGAGGCCATGACAGTGAGAGGCCCGTGCACCGCGATGAAGAGTGGCCTCCGCTCGCTGCAACTAGAGAAAGCCCTCGCAGAGAAACGAAGACCCAACACAACCAAAAATAAATTAATTAATTAAAAAAAAAAAAGAAGAAGAAGAAGATGGAGGAGGCGGGGAAGGGTGAGGTAAATTAAAAAAAAAAAAAGATTTCAGGAAAACTGGCACGTTGCTGGTGGGAATATGAGTTGCCTCAGCCTTTGGGGAAGGTAATCAGGCTGAATCTTTAAACATTTTAAAGGCACATAAATCTTTGATCTAGTTGTCCAACTTTGGGGAATCTGTCCTACAGACTGAAAGCATCAGGATGGAAGAGCAAGGATGTGTACTGAACCATTCTAGTCATTGGCAAAAATTAGACATAACCCCGATTATCTATTTCTGGAGCACATTTGAATATATTACGATACACACATACTACAGAATATTTGCTCTTAACAAGAATGAGTTAGCTACACATAGTCACCCTGAAAGATATCCAGGATATATCGTTAAATGATAAAATGAGTGAATGTGAATCCACTTTTATTAACTCCATATATATAGGTAGATTTGCAGTATATTGGTATGAGGGGAAAAAAAGATGTGGAATGATCACATGAAACCATTACTAGTTTCCTTAGGTAAGTAAGAGATGGCAAGAGGGTAGAGGCAGAGGGGAAAGGTGAACTTTTTCTTGGACCTCCTTTGTGTTAATAAAGTTGTTAGAACGAACCTGCTTTACTTTTGCAATAGCAGCATGTAAAGGGTGCTAACTATGTGCTAGGCACTGTTCTAAGTGCTTTGTATTCTTTTTCAGTTGTCACAGCAACCCTATGAGGTAAACAGAATTAGTATCCTCATATTATGGATGGGAAAACAAGCACAGAAACCTTAAGCAGTTACCCAAATGTACATACTAAGTGGTGAAGCTGGAATAATTTAAAAATATATAGACATAGATAAATCTATGCAACAACGTGTAGGGCGTGGGGAGGAGTACCAGAGAAAGGAAGTTTACCACCACCGTTCTCCCAAAAATTGGTGCCACAATTTCATACCTTAAGAACTCTGAACAGCAGCGACTGGGTGGAGCTGGGAGAGAATGCACCTGCAACTTTTTTCGCTATTGTTTGAAGAAAATTAACTAGAAAGGGATGTGTGAGGCTTCAGTTCTTGCCCTGCTTTCAGTATTAACCACACCTGGTGTAGGCAGCTCCTATTGGCTTAAATTCAGCCACGTGTAAGCTTCAGCCACGTGTAAGCTTCAGGCAAGCTTTTGGCGCTTGCCAAAATAGAGGATTTCCAAGCTTGGTCCTGGCGTTTCAGTCTCCATAAACTCAGATTTGGTGGAATATAAATTTGATGAGGATTTAAATGCTACAGAAGTGATATATCTGCTTCTGACGCTGCCTGGGAAAATGGAAAGGAATTCCTGAGCCTGCCTCAACAAATTCCCACCCCCCCTTTCTTATCAACTCATGGACTGAACGCTACTGAGAGCGATGTGAGTATATTAATCTCTGATATGCATTTTCTTTGTGATTTATCTTTGCATTAGTCACATCAGTGTTTACTAAATACTGCTTTGTCAGTTTTTATTCTCTTGGCTTACTCCTTACCTACATATTTTTTAAAATATATATATGTGTGTGTATATATATATATATATATATTTTTTTTTTTTTTTTTGCGGTACGCGGGCCTCTCACTGCTGTGGCCTCTCCCGCTGCGGAGCACAGGCTCCGGACGCACAGGCCCAGCGACCATGGCTCACGGGCCCAGCTGCTCCGCGGCACGCGGGATCCCCCCAGACCAGGGCACGAACCCGCGTCCCCTGCATCGGCAGGCGGACTCCCAACCACTGCGCCACCAGGGAAGCCCAATATATATATATTTTTCACTTATCAACATTAACAAGCAGTTTTTTTCTTTGTTTGTTTTTGGTTTTTTTTTGTGGTACGCGGGCCTCTCCCTGCTGTGGCCTCTCCCGTTGCGGAGCACAGGCTCCGGACGCGCAGGCTCAGCGGCCATGGCTCACGGGCCCAGCCGCTCCGCAGCATGTGGGATCTTCCCAGATCGGGGCACGAACCCGTGTCCCCTGCATCGGCAGGCGGACTCTCAACCACTGCGCCACCAGGGAAGCCCAACAAGCAGTTTTTAAAAATTATTTATTTTTGGCTGCATTGAGTCTTCGTTGCTGTGTGCAAGCTTTCTCTAGTTGCAGCGAGTAGGGGGCTACTCTTCGTTATGGTGCATTGCGGTGGCTTCTCTTGTT